ATTGACATCCGTACCACTATCCAGTTGGTAAGAATGTTGGTTGTGTTATTTGTTTAAATTAAGAACAGTTTGTTTCCTCTGTCTCTCTCTCTGTCTGTATATACATATATATATATATATATATATATATGTATATATATATGTATATATATACACACACACACATATGTTCTCATCTAGCTGGAGGGCAACGCTGAGTTGACAAAACAGGAAGAGAAAGCTGTCTTTGATCTCGCCTTGTCCTGGGACCTGCCTGGTGTTACGAAAACCAACCGGAAGTGGCTGCATGAACGGCTTTTATTCCATGCAGTGGGTGACGTTGCACGCTACTTTTTGAAACTGCAGATGTAATACTATGTTCAATAATGTATTTTTTTATTTATTCTGCTGTAGTACAGAACATAATGCATTTGCTCCATATAGCTCAAATGAAATACTTGTTTCTCTGTATAGACTTGCTGTTTATTTTGTTCCAACAATAACTCAATATATGGTTGCTTTTTATGCTGTTTTCTGTTTTGGGATTCTAGGTGATTTCACGAACAAGCCGTCAGGTTAAGCAACTGAGAAAAGGACTCAAGGAGACCATGGTTTGGCCCTTTCTGAAGGAGAGAGCAGACATCATTCCCACATTTCTACCAAGGACTTCAGAGGCTGCTCTCAATTTTCATGTAAAAATGACATCCACACTTGTGAAGTGAAAAAAGGCAAACCAGATCCTCTGTCTATGTCTCCTCTGTTGTCCACAGCAGTAGTGTTATAATTCCTCTTTAACACAAGAACATCATGTCAACTTTGTAGAACTGCACGTACAACTGCACTAAAAGATTATTTTATGACTTTTTTTGCAGTCAGTCATACAAAGGATTGTGTGGCCGATCCTGGAGGAAAAGGAGGAGGAGGACGAATGCTGCTTGGAGGACAAATGCAGAGTCGCAGGATACCTGCGCATCTTCATTGAAAAGGGTATGACAGTAATGAATTATTTTTCTGAAATACATAATGACAAATATAAAACTAATTTCACAAACTGGGCTGTAAAACTATGTACACATGTTGTCTTGTAAATGTATATAAATTGCGACATGCCCATTGCAAACCATCACCGTGACTAGTCCTGTCCAAACTTTAATGATGTATTATTTTGAGGGACAAAACGCTGAGGTAGACAGATCCCTGGGCAGGGAAGCTTAGTGAACAGTCATTGACTGGAATGGAACATTGTGTAATTAGCACTTAAAGGAGTACTTGATAGTCGTTCTAACATTATCCTAGCCCACGGATTACACATTTTTGAATGCCTGTCATCCAAACTTTTTAAAGTGATCTTTGAATACAAAAAAATTAGGTTAAGATTAACACTTTTCACTTCTCCTTTCATAGCATCCTGTGCACAGCTCAAAGCACTCCTCCAATTCTGGACCGGATGGGAACTTCTACCCAGTGAACTGACCCAAATCTGCAACGTGTTTTGAAACGCTCCGTCTTCCTGCACACTATCATGATTATGAAGCTTTTGTTACTGACATTCAGGCCTGCCTCAACTCCGTTGACACAGGCTTTGGTCTTGTTTAGGTTGGACTCAATGTCACATGTATCCCTCATTACCAGGGATTATCAGGTTGTCAAGGTGATGTCTGTTGTAGTTTTGTTGACATATGCCGGATTGTAATTTTGTGGGTTATTGTTGTTCAGCTAAGATAGCTAATATGTGCTAATGTCAGTTGTCACTTGTTTTCCACACTATCTGGCAACTTTTGATCGCTGACAACATCTTCCACAGAGGTAAACAAAGCATTCATTTTGGACCCATCAACATTTAAAAATTGATTTATTCACAGGGTTCTATTTCTTGGTAGTTCAGTTACATAGATATCTGACATTTTTCCAATGTTTTCTGTTCTATGTTTGGGCCATTGTATTTAGCTCGAGATGGAATCAAATAAATAAGTGATCTACAACTTTGAAAGTATTTAAGTTTATTTTGAATGACTACTGTTCTTAAAGGGCTGCATGTATTTAATTCCAGAGCTGTTTAAATAGTTGTTATTGCTTCATTACTTATTCACAAAACATAGTTCTAAAATACTGTTACTGCTGGAGAGGTAGATTTGGTGACAATTTAGGCTGCAGTGTCTACCCAAATAGCCTCCCTATAACATTTCGTTTAGAAATGCTCAGCATGCACATAGGGCATAATTTGTACTGAGTTTCAAAGGAAATATCCAAATATGATATTGAGCGGTCTGGCCTCGAAGCCCAAATACAGCACACTCTTGCCTACAAATGTCCCCCTCATTCTCCAGCAGGTCGTAAGTGCACTGTGTTCAAATTAGGAGGGGTCGGGACACACTGGACTAAACTAGCTAACTTTATATAAAGTAGTTAAAACTAGCTCCACCTGGAGCAGCTCCAACAGTAACATGCTGCATCAGAATGTATTATTATTTACATTTTATTGCACAACATGTACTTTTACTGCTGATACTTAAAGTACATTTTGTTGATAGTATGTCTGCACTTTGACTTGTAATGGAGTATTTCTACATTGTTGTATTGGTACTTTTGCGTAAGTAATGGTTTTAAGTACTTCTTCCACCACTGCTCAAATCGTCCGAAGAAAATGTTGCCTGACCTAAGGTTCTGGGTTCAACATAACTGAGGGTTTGAACAGTTTCAAGATAAACTGCCAATGCCTGACTGAAAGGAACATGGGGGTTTGGTAGGGCCACAAGATCATGTTCACTCAATGGGCGCAGGAGCTGGATCTCAGGAACAAAGACATTAGATGCACAGGGGGTATGTGGTCCTTCCCAGTCCACACCATAATCCTCACCAACCTGACATACAAAAGGAATAAAGCCGTTCAGAATGTGTAAGCAATTACAATGTGGGTCATTTTGCATGTATTTTAAATAAATAATTGAGCCAGGGAATAAGATGGCATACATTACATCATCTAAAAACCGTTGTTTACCTGTGAGAAATCTTGTCCCTCTCTGTTGTTTAGTAACCACAACTGTAAAGGCGAACGGTGGCTTGCAGTCCTCAGTCCATGGTGATTCCATGCCTCCTTGAAACACTGAAGATGATGATGAATATGTGGCATGAAGCACCTGTGTAGTACATACAGGTCAATCTCTTGGTCAGGATTGAGTAATCCTTGGGCCTCCAGCTGGATGAATATTGTGTAGAACAGATCAAGAACATTTTCATACACATCTCTCCAAAGGCGCTCAATTCTGTAAAAGAAAGAATGAAATACAGCCTTTATATTGTATTTTTGGCAGGTCACATTATTCAACAGTTAGCAGGATGGAAAAGTTGTACAAGGTTCTACTAGTAATGGCTGATTGACACTTATGTTCAGACTGGAGTGTGAACACAATGATGAGCGAAGTGAGAGCTGGATTGTAGGTAGTGACGAATGAACTTGTTATGAACTGCCAGTAAAACGCCCCGTTATCACCCCCTGCCCCGCCTGAATGGAAGTATTGTTAGACATCTTGTAGAGGGTGGACAGACGTGCTTTTTCTCTCGGTTTCATTGTACTTTAATAATTTATATTTTTTAAATCCTCCATACCTTTGGTTATGAACACTCCGTCCAGTAATATGAGAGCTCCTGTTCTCCCCTTGTGTTTGGACCATGAAATGAGCAACCCTAACATTCTCACCCCCCTTGTCAGATCTGTAAGGGGAAAAAAGTACATTTATCTGAAGATGACTATCCAACATACAGTAATTGTACCTTCAAAAGAAAGGTCTTCTCTCGGAAAGCCTTCTTCAGGGTCTAAGCATACCCTGAAGAAGGCTGTTTGTGCCGTTCTGCGTGGGTTGTAACCCAGCTCTGTTTTAAGATTACCAAAGAGCACCTTCATTACACTTGTTTGAAATTCCGAACACTCATTTTCTTTTTGATAATTGTACCTGTGTTACAAATGCTATTAAAATAAATTTTAGTCAAATAAGTCTCATTGTACTTCATGTATTACACATTTGTAGGACATTACATACCGAACTCGAGATGGCACGTCATATTGGCCAACAGCAGACAAGAAGCCTTCAAGAACAGTTTTAGCTCTGTTGTTGGTGGCAATACTTAAGTACACAATTAGCCTGGAGAATCCATCAATGCCACCATGAACAACAATCCTCCATCTGTGTGAAATATAGCAGGATTAATTGGTTATTGAATTGGGGCCTCATGTCCACAGTTGATAAAGGCACATCTTGTTCATTAAGCTATGTTAGGAATAGGGTTGGAGGGGTATGGTTGAGGCAGGTAGGGTGATAACGTTGGATATTACAATAGCAACATGTCCTGCAATATCACAAAACCTTATTGCCATTGCAATATCCAACATTATCGTACATTGCATATGTTATCCTTCTTTAAGTTAAAAAAAGTTGTATATAAATAAGCAAATTCAGTGGCTTAATTTACTTTACCAAGGCAAGCAGATTTGTCAGCTGGGTGAACATTTATATTTTAAAGTACCTTTTGCCAACATCTAACCTCTCATCTCTACTAAAGATGGAATCACACAAGGTGCTAAAATGTTGGTTTCCGGTAGGCTAATCTCCGTAAAAGGACTTTGCCAATGGGTCCTGAGATTGTTAGTAGGCTAACACTGATTTGACCACCTCAGGTGCTAATACAGTGCCCTAAGACAGTAAATATGAAGAGGAAACATGTGATTTCATGTGAACATATAATTTCATGGTACTGTTTGGAATTGAGACTTATTCTGGATCATGTTCATACCTTTGAAAATGCTTATAAATAATTTTGTATGTCAAAGCTTACACACATTTGTTAAAATACATCTTGGATGTCCCAACTAAGGGTCAGTGTGGGTGCATTTCAACCAAGCAGAGAAACACCCGATTCCAGTACACCAACTAGTTGTGAGTTCATGTGTCACTGCTTTGTTGGAACACATTCACACCAACCCTTTGCAGATCAAATTGGACACCACTGACATTATGGTACTATCAGAAGAGCTCATATTTAGCTAGGATGTATGTGGTAGAGGGCTTGCCCCCATGCAAGGACTGTACCTTTAGTAGCATCTAATTGTGTTTTTGTTTGAAATTCAAACTCAATTATTATCTAATGAGTAGACAAGGAGTTCAATTAATATCCTCAACTAACTAACTAACTAACCAACTAATATTTTGTATTAAAAAAGGATAAAGGCATCATTAAGTATTAATGACCTGGCCATATATCTTTTAATGTTACTTTTTCCTCAGCCTTCAAATTGGTCTCACACTCAATACTTCCAGGGGTGCAATGTCTGTAGATAGGCCTACTTATTTCAGCAATCACACCTTAACCTGTGTTTTCTCACATGATGTTACTATTTAGTGATTTCAGGTGGTGTGGTACAGGCTTGGAACAAAGAACTGCAGGACTCCAGCACTTGAGGACAGGAGTTCAAGAGCAGCACCTACTAGATTATGATGGACACAGTTCAAAAAGCAGCAGGAAAAACCTCAAGCTCAACCTTGACAAGACTGAGCTGCTCTTCCTCCCGGGAAAAGATTGTCCCACTCTTGACCTAACAATCAACATCGGCACCTCAGTTGTTTCCCCGACTCAGACTGCAAGGAATCTGGGTGTGACCCTAGATAACAACCTGTCCTTCACTGCAAACATCGCTGCTACAACCCGTTGCTGCAGATACACGCTTTACAACATCAGGAAGATACGTCCCGAGCTGACTCAGAAAGCGACTCAGGTTCTGGTCCAGGCTCTCGTCATCTCACGCCTAGACTACTGCAACTCCCTCCTGGCTGGTCTACCTGCATGTGCCATCCGACCTCTGCAGCTAATCCAGAATGCAGCGGCTCGTCTGGTCTTCAACCTTCCTAAATTCTCCCACACCACTCCGCTCCTCCGCTGGCTTCCGGTAACTGCTAGAATCCACTTCAAGACACTGGTACTTGCTTACCATGCTGCGAATGGATCTGGCCCTTCCTACATCCAGGACATGGTTAAACCGTACACCCCAGCGCGTGTACTACGCTCTGCATCAGCCAAACGACTCGTTGCGCCCTCGCTGCGAGGGGGACCCAAGTTCCCATCGGCGAAAACACGTGGGTTTGCTGTCCTGGCTCCAAGATGGTGGAATGAGCTCCCCATTGACATCAGGACGGCAGATAGCTTGCACATCTTCCGGCGCAAACTGAAAACTCATCTCTTTCAACTCCACTTCGAGCGTTAGAACTATTAATGAAGCACTTTTATACTAATAAAGGACTGGCTTACCTAAAGCCAGTTGACCAGCACTTGAAATGTTTGGCTCTATGAAACCTGATGTACTTATATGATTCTGTTTTCTTCAAGGTTGTGTCTTCCTGGTCGAATGTACTTATTGTAAGTCGCTTTGGATAAAAGCGTCAGCCAAATGCAATGTAATGTAATGTAAAAAAACTGACCTGATCAGCTTGTGATTACCGTCTATATGCCATAGACTATTTGGTGCAGGAACATTGTACTGACGACGCCTTGTAGTCTGGAGGGTTAACCTTCGCATCAAGATTGCTCCTGGATCAACTCTCTGCATTGACGCCCTTACTCGATGCCCTGATTGAAAAAGGAGATTTATTTGTTTATTCAAATTGGCGACTGGCTAAACCCACGTCATTTGGAATTGGGTTGAACATTGAGGTTAAACAAAAACTGCTAATTCTTACTTTGAATGTGTATGCCTCTGGACCGTAGATGTCCCAGCATCATTTTATATCCAGCATTTGGATTAGTGCGCTGAATCTCCATCACTAAGGCATCTACATCGTCATCGTTAATTGAAGAGTATAGGTCTGATTTTCTACAGTAGAAAAACACAAAAAATATATATGTGTAATGTCATTTCAATTATATATTTATTACATAAGCAACAGCATCGTTAGTTAGGTGTAACAGTTAGCATGAATACAACTCCAGTTATATTAACATTCATTTATACAGTGGCTGCAACTTCACGTGTATCAGGAAACATCTCTGACTTTAGTCATTTTTGATGAATAAACAAAAACCGCAATTTCACGATACAAGCAGGTTTCGGTGTAACAATAGTCATATCTGACAGAGCAGCTGTTAATAATAACTGACCTAACTTGTGTGCAACGTCAACATAAACGTGTTGGCTAACGTTGACGCACATCCACCAGTCTAACATACTCCATTTCAACCATCTCTTCGTATCATATTGCTACACAATACTAAATAATTGTTTGTCAATCATGTTTTAATTTTGTTAACGTTAACTGTATTATACACGTTTTTGCCCACCAGTCTCGTCCATAGATATAAAATAGGAGTAGAACGGACATTTCCATTCAAATCAACGTAGCAGGATAATGGATGTATTATATTTTAAGATAATGCAGGTTGGTCAGAGCAGCGGCCATTTGTATGTGTACCGTTGCCATAGTGACAGTTGTAGCGGGCTGACCATATAAATAGAATATGAGTATACTCGTATTCTATTTCTATGGGCTTGTTATTTGTATGACGTTCGCTCGATAGAGCAATAATTCGATTTTACGTTCGCTCAAGTAATTCACCTTAGGCCTTCTTCGACCGATCTCCTCTGAATTGTGCGGGATGACACACCAAACAGATCCGCAATTTCTCGGGTTGATAGACCGGACAACACATAGGTAGCGAGCATATCGCCTGGAATATCCAGAGGCGGGCGTCCTGCACCTGTGCTTGAACCAACTTCTTGGACATCTTCCACATGAATACGGTGCTCAATCAGTGTCAAAGTATTTACAACTTCGTCATCCGTGTTGATATCTCGAAGAGCACTTATCCGCCCGAGTACTTCGATAAAGTCTTCAATATGGGCCAACATAGTATCTGTTGGTAAACCGTGTTGATCAATTTGATCTGCTAAGGATAACATAGCATCTTGGAGCCCACCGACGTCTTCCATGTTGTTATTTTCATTTAGTAGTTTGCCTTATAAACTTCTCCTCCATTTTCTTCCTCTTCTCGTGTAGTCAGTGTGGTGCTGTTGCTTTGGTCTGGGTCTCTGGACCTGTGAGCTAACCACGCCCCGTTCATTTGCATATAAGGAATGGAAATGTCTCATCATGAAATACGAGTCTCTTGAAATAAATAAATGCGTAATTATGAAATACAAGTCATCTGAAATAAATAAATATGTCATTATGAAATACGAGTCTCTTGAAATAAAAAAAATTGTATTTAAATGTACATGTATACATATTGTTGGAGATGTAAAGGGATAACTGATCCGCTTTTCAAATCTCCGCGCGTCCCTATCAAGCTGGTTAATACAGGAAGGAATCCAGAGCTACCAAGTAACCGTTAAACAATAATCTACTTTAATGGTAATATGACAATGCAATACAATCAATACAGTACAAATTCAATACAGTTATCTTTGGGATCCCGAATTTACCTGCACGTGAGCCAGCCAGAGGAAAGAGACTGAACACAGTGTGTGTCTCTGCGTTTATACTTTCTAACAATGGGAGGAGTTATCTGATACCCCCTTTTGATTGGCAGCCCCAAATATCACAAACACCTCAGATCTTAGGTTTCCCCAATCACTGTAGCTAGATCTAAGTTGAATGCAAATCAAGACATGCTCTCACCTTCCCCCATCTTCCTTTGTCCTTAAAAACACATGTCAACAGGCCCCAAATCCAGCTCACAGTTTTACCCAAATTATTCCCATTTTAAGCTTATCCATAGTTAGCTAACATGAATACATACAAATATTTCACTACAAATCCCCCTTTTGATCTCAATTTAAGAGATCAACTATTTCAAGACATTCACATTATAACCTGGGATTCAGACTATTTAAACGTTCAGGAATGGCTCCACATATCAACTTCATATGACCGTGTAGAAATACCAAAATATGTAAATAACTCCATACATCAATTACATCACTTAGTAACAACAAAGTTAAAAACCCTTCAATCAGAATGATTGAGTACAGCCAATCGTAATAGAAAATCATCTCTCCTCAGTGTTTAGACAAATCGTTCATCAATAGCACAAAAATAAACATACCAACAAATATAGAAGAAAATAGTAAAATATATGTTTCCAAATAACATCTTTTATCATTTATCATTCAGTCCTCCTTAATCATCAAATTACAAACTTTAAAAATAGCTTGCATCTCAAAGATTTGCTTAAAGACAATTATAGTAAAAACACATTTAACATTTAGGATTATTAGAAATCCACCTGAGGTATAAAATCTGGATTGTAAAGGTCCAGTTGAAATTCACAGTTTAAGGTATAACATTCACAGTGGTGATTCAATTAATCTGTAATCTGCAAAATTGCAGTGTCTTCAAGCTTTAACATTACTTCACGTATACTTCATTACGCTTTAGTCAAAAGTAAGGCACTTATCTATACATTCATTTTAGTCAAATACATTGTTCAAAAATCTGAAAAAGAAGATTCAGACATTTATTGCGTAGTGTAAAAACCCGAAAGGGTAAAATCTATATACATCTTCTACATTCTGAGTGTCAATTTTAATCAACTTGTCATTCATTTTGTGGGGGTCCCCATGGCGCAGAAGCCGTGATTGAGCCCCACGGATCTGAAAGCTGGGCGTCGTACATCAACACGGAGTCATCAACTGTGGAATATCCTACTAGTCTCTGTGGAGCCTGGAGGGCGGTTTTGGTAATCTTTCGTATGGCTAGTTTAACTACAGTGACCAAGCAGATTATCACAATTAGCACAACTAAGATAAACATTGAAACGGTTACTGCAAATTTAACCAACCCCGCACCCCACGATCCAAAAGTTCCAGTTAAATCCCCAAGGGTAAACCCATGAGTTTCATGCAACTCTTTTATCCCCCTGGCGGTATCATGAGCCATATCCATTACCTCAGGTGTAGCATCAGAGATGAAAGAACAACACTCAGATCCAATCACCTTGCATGTGCCCACCTGGGCGGCTAATAGAAGATCCAGTGCCATACGATTCTGTAATGCTACAGTCCTAACCTCCTGTAATTCTTTATGTTCGGCTAACATGGCTGTGTTAGATGCATTTAAATGATTTTCCACTACTTTGGACAACGCCACAATTTCCTGCTGAGAAACATAAATACCGTACCATGGTAAAAATAGACTAGCCATCCGCTGTCCTTCTGTAATCGACCTGCTGTTTCTATGTAGAGAGGGAAGTATAGCTGCAATCTCATCAGTCTTTACTTTACGGATTAAAGGGATTAGATAGGCCAGGTAACAGGTGCCATAGAAAATGTCATAAGGCATACGGCTCGGTCCCCACAAACTAAGTAAACTCTCTGCGGGAGGGGCGTTCTGGCTAACTGCACCTTTATTACGGTATTACAGTCGCTGTGGCCCACATCTGGAGAGGTAAGAGATCCTCTTTCATTCTGGAAACAGATGGACACATTCTTCCACTCATGTACTACAACTGGGGGAACATAGACAGAACAGTCACGGGTAGGGGACTTACCTAAGGGTAATGGCTGCGAACAGTCATGTATTTTAACTAGTGCTGTCAAAATTATCGCGTTAACGGCGGTAATTCATTTTTTGAATTAATTGCGTTAAAATATTTAACGCATTTAACGCATGTGCAGAATGGCCCGCCCCATACGTGCCACCAATGGCAGCGCCAGGGTATGGCTGGGGTAGGCTACACCCATACCAAGAAATGGCTTAGCCCCACCATGAAAAATGATATTAAAGTAAGCAAAATAAAGACTGCCAACTCACGCGGAGTAAATTGCACAGACAGCAGTTAGTAAGATTGATTTCAGTAGCCACGGTTTTGAAAACTTTTGTCACGTAGTGATCGTCTTCTCAATAGAACATCTTTGATAACGGCGTGATGTTGTTGCAGGAAGTCCCGACGGAGAATACTTTTGCTGTAGTACAGGGGTGCACATAACTGGTACGCAGGTTATTTAAACCTGCGTACCAGTTAAACATAAGATCTCTAGCATCTAAAGCATTATTGGTAAATGATGTAATATCAGATTATAATATTGATATATGCTGTCTCACTGAAACTTGGTTGAGACATGAAGAATATGTCAGCATAAATGAGGCCACTCCACCCAGCCATATCAATACTCATATTGCCCGAGGCACGGGCCGAGGAGGTGGAGTTGCAGCAATCTTTGACTCAAGTTTACTTATCAATACTAAACCAAAATTAAATTATACCTCCTTTGAAAGTCTCGTTTTTAGTCTTACGCATCCGACCTGGAAAACTTTGCAGCCAATCTTATTTGTTACAGTGTACCGTGCACCAGGTCCTTATTCAGAATTCTTATCTGAATTCTCTGAGTTTTTATCAACTTTGGTACTTAAAACAGATAAAGTAATTATCGTAGGTGACTTTAATATTCATGTTGACGATGATAAAAATAGCCTTACTGTTGCATTTAACTCTATATTAGATTCTGTTGGTTTTTGTCAGAGTGTAAATAAACCAACCCACTGCTATAATCACACTCTCGACCTTGTTCTGACTTATGGTATTGAAATTGAGCAACTATTAGTCGAACCGCATAATCCTGCTTTATCCGACCATTTCTTAGTAACTTTTGAAGTACTGTTACGAGACTACAAAGCATTAGTCAAAAGCTCCTGCAGCAGAAACCTATCTGTTAGTGCTATAGCCAAATTTAAGGAAGGGATTCCACCAATACTTAATTCGATAGCATGTCTGCATGTAAGGGAGGAAACTTATACAAAATGTACACCACCCCAAATTGATCATGTTGTTGATAGTGCTACAGATGCACTGCGAATAAAATTAGACTCTGTTGCTCCTTTGAAAAAGAAGAAAATAAAACAACATAGATTAGCTCCATGGCATAATGCCGAAACCCGCAAAATAAAGCAAAAGTCGAGATAACTTGAAAGGATATGGCGTTCCACTAAACTTGAAGAATCTCGTTTAATTTGGCATATTACTCTCAATGAATATAAGAAAGCACTGCGTAAAGCGAGAGCAGCCTACTACTCTTCATTAATAGATGAGAATAAGAATAATGCAAGATTTCTTTTCAGCACTGTAGCCAGGCTGACAGAAAGCCACAGCTCAATTGAGCCTTCTATTCCCATAGCACTCAGTAGTAATGATTTTATGTGCTTTTTTAATGATAAAATTGTTACTCTTAGAAACAAAATTAATGACCTCTTGCCTTTGACCAGTATAGTGTTATCAACAGCTCCCGGAAACGTAAGTTCTAATATTACACTAGATAGTAAACTAGAATGCTTTTCAGCCATAAACCTTGAACAATTAAATTCAATGATTCTCTCTTCTAAACCATCAACGTGTATGTTAGACCCAATTCCAACTAAGCTGTTGAAGGAAGTTTTTCCATTAATTAGCACTTCTTTATTAAATATTATGAATATGTCTTTATTATCAGGCTATGTTCCACAATCATTCAAAGTAGCAGTGATAAAACCGCTTCTTAAAAGCACAACCTCGATCCAGAGGTTTTAGCCAATTATAGACCTATTTCCAATCTTCCGTTCCTCTCAAAAATTCTTGAGAAAGCGGTCGCAAAACAGTTGTGTGATTACTTAAAAAACAATGATTTATTTGAAGATTTTCAGTCTGGCTTTAGAACACATCATAGCACAGAGACAGCTCTGGTTAAAGTCACAAATGACATTCTAATAGCCTCTGACAAGGGACGTGTCTCTATTCTTGTTTTGCTCGATCTCAGTGCTGCATTTGATACTATCGACCATGATATCCTATTGCAAAGACTAGAGCACTTAGTTGGCATACAGGCAACTGCTTTAGACTGGTTTAGGTCCTATCTATCTGAACGC